TTTGTTTTGAAGAGCGTTTAGCGTTACCCAGCACCCACCACGAGGAGGTGGCTCTTTACGGGTGCCACGGACAGACAGACAGACAGTATTTATTCAGTATAGAGGCCCTCGCCCATAATACAATCAGACTGACATTGTGTTTAGTGGGTGCGCAAAACAACTTTGCATCTCTATGTCCTGGAGTTTATCAATTTCAGTACATGGTATAAGTATAGGCCAACGATGTATATGACCGCATCAGTTTTGCTTTGCAAAATATTTACGACAGAGTAATGAGTAACTGGTTCTTTAGTGACCTTTGTTATATCCCAGTATTTCTTTCTAAGTATATCATAGGCATTACAGATAAGTAGTACATGATATTCATTTGCTATATAATGCTGGCGTCTGTCTTTACATAAAGGGCATAGCCTTTCGTTATATTCAATTCCTTTATACCTGCCACATTCAACAGCCGTATTAATATTACTGCATCTAAACCTTGATATAGCAATTCTTAAATGCATAGGTATATCACAACACAAATATCTTTCCTTTTTGAACTCCTTGTAAAATATACATTTAGGAGATTCACTAATTGATGAGAACCAAAACTGTTTTAAGTTATCACCTAGCCTTAGCTTTAATAGATACACAAAATATTCCACATTTCCAATTTCTTGGCTTAGCCAAGCATAACTAAATCCATATTGAAACAGGATGTGCCTAAATTTTGTTACCCAGGTATTATAGCCTAAGCTATCTAGTGATCTTAACATTAAATAACATTGATGTGGGAGTCTAATTTGTGGCATATGTATGTCTTCACCAGAATGTGATCACTCTTGACATGTACAAATACTGCAATGGGGAGTCTGCCACACTGTCCAGGAACTATTGATACCATTTAATGTAGTTTTTTTTCACCCTTAAATATTGTTTACAAAATTAAATTTGCACAGCCTCTATAAGTTTGGAGTGACATGTTCCCCAGATTTCAGAGCCATAACAAAGAATAGGCACATCCATTGCATCAAACATATTAAGTAGATCAGTACAAACTATGTTACCAATTTTCCTCTGGAAACCATTTAAAGACATAATAGCTTTAGAGGTCCGAGATGCAAGACATGTCTGGGCTTGTACTCCAGGCAACCTTGGTTGTGAAAAATAATCCATTATAGAACCATTTCTCATAATGACGAAGAGGCCCCCATTTCTAAAGACAATAATCTTGGTTTTGTTTAAGTTAGCTTTCACCCCTGTACTATTACAAAAGCTTTCTAAAACATTTAATTTCTCCCCTTTATTGATTTTATAGACTGACCCAGACTTATTCATTTTTCTATAAATTATTAAGCATGAGTGACATATACACTTATTTATGTATTTAAATTCCTTACACTCTTGGCACAGATCTAAAAACTTTAAGTACAAATTTGTGCATTTTACAATATTGCTTTGACTAAAAGAACTTCAGCTTGTAGATTGGCAAAAATACGTAAAAATAAGAAGTAAAGCATTTTGTCGTTACTGAACATACAACTCTGTTAAACTTTGTTCTTTGCCGAGCCCTTTTCTAATAATATTGGCATGACACTTGGAATTGACAAATGTAATACTCTTCATTTGAAACGTGGCAAGGTAATTAATGATGGAAGTTACAGGAGGGAGGTGTTATTGAGTATCTTGTGGAAGATCAAGCCTACACCTATCTTGGAATGCAAGTTCGAGACCAGCTCCAGAATGCCCAGATTCAAGAAAAAGTTCGAACTGCTTAAAGAAAATCTGGAGCTCAGAGCTAAATCCTCGAAACAAGGTCAAAGCCACCAATATATTTGCTGTGCCAGTCCTTTCCTATTCCTTTGGAGTAGTTGATTGGACAAAACATACATCTAAAATCTTGACCGCCGGACCAGAAGGATCATGTCTGATAACAGAGCCCACCACCCTCGTTCCTCTCTCAATCGTTTATATATGCCAATCGATTCTGGAGGTCGGGGTTGGATTAACGTGGAGGCTCTTCATGATAGAATTGTTTTGTGTACTTTTGCACATACTTGTTTATTGCACATATTTGCTTATTTTGATTCTCTGGTGATGCATGTCAACACTCATGATGGAAGTAAGGAATTCCACAGCTAGTTTAAGCTTGCCAGGGTTGTTGGACAGAATCTGAAATTTGAGGTTGATGTTGTTGATGGCGATGTACTGCTGGACGGTACAGCAATGGGAGTAAACCAGGTGAAGTCCTTCACCAAGTCTGCCCTGAGTCGGTCATTTGTGGAGAAGCTTTCTGAGAAACCATTGCACCGTGTGTACATGCAGTGTGTGGAACAGAACAGGGCCTAGATTTTTTAAGCTCTCTTAGCGTTAAGATAGTCGTAAGTGCCATACATTTACATTAACTTACGACTTTCTTAGCGCTAAAAGAGCCCAGCAATCCAACGGACTTAGGCCAGTCAAATTAGCCAATTTTTTCTTATCCTGACTCATGTTTATTTGCTTGTCTTCTTCTTCTGGCGAACCTAGTGGAACACTTGTATCTCCCAATTGAAGCTCCCTTCAATAAAAAATCACTCATTAGTACTCACCCCGAGTTATCTCCCTTTCCGTAAGCGCGGGAAGGAGGGCGCCACCCAAGCCCATGTGCCTCACTCTCTCCTTCTTCGCCCAGTGAGCTGGACGTGAGAGCACCTGTGTCTCCCAACACATATATCCTTTATTTAAATCTAGTTTAGTTCCTCTTATACGTTAGTATAGAGGTAGTGCTAGTATATTTATTCAATTTGCATTGATTATTAATTGTGTTTCTGCTGTTTATTCACGCTTTACCGTGATTGTTCAGTAGGCTACATTAATGAAAATTTGCACAGATTGTAAACTACGTTACTCTGATACCGATCCTCATTTAAAATGCCCTAGTTGCATTACTCCATGTTCCTTTGATTCTCGTTGTAAATTGTGTAGCAATTTACCTATCTCTGCCTTTGACAAATATTTATGTTCCGTTTACAGACGGAAGGCAGATAAATCTCGTAAACAGATTTCAAACATGGCTAATAGATCGCAAATTAATGTTTCATGTCAACTGTTGACTGAGGACTCGTCACCGGCTGGTGGCATGCCTGAGTTTCCCTCGGAGGATAAGCGTGGGACGCAGTCCGCTATGTCCAAGAAGCGACCTGCATCTCAAGAGCTGCCGTCGTCTCAGTCCAAGTCGAGGAAACCAGCCATATCATCTCGTACTCTGCGTACTCCAAGATCTACACCGTCATCTAAAGGGAAGTCAACTAAATCTAATAAATTTGCCTCTGATATCTTACCAGTTACAGAATTAGCATTATATGATGATGATATGCCTATTATCATTCCAGAAGTTCGTCACAAGAAACGGCCCGTTTCTGCGACTATCACCTCAGCGCAGACGAACACACAACCGGAGATGCCGACGCTATCACCAATACATTTATCTGAGGGTCCCGTCACCTCTGCAGAGACATCCTCATCAGCGCAGAACGTCCCAGATGACTTGATCAACCACATTATGAGAATGATGGAAGACCGCTACGGCTTACAGAGGCCTCAGAGCCACGGGCCCCAGAGCCCACCCCATACTAAGTCATACAGGGCCCCAGAGCCCGCCTTGACTTCGCGTAGGGCCCCTGAGCCCATAGGGCGCCTCCGCTGAGGGGCAACCCTGCCCGGAGTGAGCTCTTTGCATAAGGTATCCCAGGCAGCCTCGGGAAGGAGCTAGAGTCTGACCCTTTGCAAGAGGCTTCGCGGAGAAGGAGTGCTTCGCCTAGCACGCACCATGTCATGTACGAAGGGCGTTCGCAAAGCAAGCACTCATATGTCGGAGCGGACACTGACTCCAGACATTCGCACAAAACGCGAAGGCTAAGTGGTTCTACAATGCCTACAAGACGTTCTCGCAGCCCTCAACGTTCGAGAAGCCCAGAGCGTCGGCGAAGCCATCACCGTTCGAGTAGCCCACAGTCTCCGCGAAGGATGTCTTCTCCCAGATCTGCATACACTAGCCACTCGTCAGTCCGTTCTCCTCAGTCCTCACGTAGATCTTCTTACAGATCGAGGTCTCCGACATACGACCATACGTCAGAGGAAGACGATGGTATCATTTTCTCAGAGGCTGAGATAAGGTATTGGATGGTAAATGAATTACAACTGGCCTCTCCCTCCAAGAACGAGGATACAGCCCAAACTTACCTGATGAAAGATGATGACGTAGATCATATCACCATACCTCCTGTGGATCCTATCGCAGCCGTTCCTGCTAAACTGGATACAACTTTCTCCAAATCTACTAAATCCCATCTTCCTCACTTACCGATCTTCAATGCCAAGCATTTTTATGGACATAATATGGAGCCTTTTTTCAAGACTCAGGAGATTATCAGTGATTCCAAGTCCAGAAGTTATAGGATTGACGATCGCAAGATGGCCCAGTTAGATACCATTGCCAGAAGAATGTTCTTCGGACTTAATAGATCTAGGACTATTAACGAAACTCTCATCACCAAGTTCAAGAACTCTACGGATGAGGAGGACAGGATGATCTATTCAGCTCTTCTTATGCAGAAGAAAGATCAACAATTCCTTACAGACCATCTTTCAGCTCTTACTGAAACTACTACCATGGCACGTCGGCAAAGATTACTAGCCTCATGCTCTTGGAATAATCAATTCACAGAGCCCCTGTACACAGCTCCATGGTCTTCACCTTTACTGTTTGGTGGCAACATTAACAAGGTCTCCAAGGAAGTATCTAAAGATTTTAGAGAAGTACTCATGATTAGATCTATGGATACGTTAGCCAACGTCTTCAAACATTCAGCACAGAGGTACTCGGGTAAGGCTAAATTCTCAGGGCTACAGAGAGCACGGGATAAGAAATTAGCGGCCGCTAATAATCCCAAGGATTCTTTTCGTCGCCCCTACAACAAGTTCAGAGGAGGATCAGCTAGAGGCAGATCATCCAGAGGTGCCCGTGGATTTAAACGATGAAAGTCAGGTTCGGAACGACTGGAGTCTTCCACCCCCAGTCGTCCCAGTACAACCGTCTCAAGTGGGTGGACGACTACAACTTCACTGGGAAAACTGATTCAAGACCCGTATGTATCCAACATCCTTCGATACGGATATCGTCTACAACTCAAGGCCAAGCCACCGTTAACAGTCAACCCACCAGGGTTCAACGTTCATCTGGCATTACTACCGATGTTAAGAGAAACAGTACAGTCTCTACTAAACAAACAGGCCTTAGAAGTTCTCGATCAGCAAAACATCATACCAGGTTTCTACTCCCCAGTCTTCCTAGTGCCGAAAAAGAATTCCAAAGAGAAGTATCGTCTCATTTACAACATGAGCACATTCAACAGAGAATTTCTATGCAAACCACCAGCGTTTCGCATGATACATTTACCTCAACTTCGTCATCTAATTCGTCCACTAGATTACATGGTAAGTATAGATCTGCAGGACGCATACCTACACATTCCGATTCATCCCAGTTCAAGGAAATATCTGAGATTCATGCTAGACGGCATACACTACCAATGGAAAGTACTTCCCTTCGGAATCACTTCGGCCCCATGGATATTCACAAGAATAACCAAGCCTATGGTCTCATATCTACATCGTCAAGGCCTGCGGAGTGCATTTTTACCTAGACGACGGCATACAGGTGGATCCACATCCACAGCGTCTCAGACTACAGCTGGAATTTACAATCGAAGCTACTAACGCAGTTAGGCTGGTTAGTAAATCTACTCAAGTCGGACCTAGAGCCCACGCAAGATCTGCAGTTTCTAGGTATACGATTCATACAGCTCAGAACCGTATGATAGTCCCGGAGGACAGATGGATCAAGATACAACAACTGATCCCCCAAGCCCTACTCTCTGTTACCACTACGACAGTGGCAGAGTCTACTGGGACTACTCACATCGGCTCAAGACTTGACACTCAGAGGCAGGCTCCAATTGCGTCCATTACAAGTCGTCATCAATGCCCATCTCGAGGACTCTCTACCGTTCAGTCTACCAGATTACGTCAAACCACATCTACTCTGGTGGACCAAGAGATTGAATGTCTGCGCAGGCGTCTCCTTACTAGAGCCGGAATCGGAAACACATCTTTACGTGGATGCGTAAAGGTTGGGGAGCCCACCTTTCCGGCAGGACAGCGTCAGGCCTATGGAGCATTCAAGAGAGCTTATGTCACATAAATCTACTAGAGATGCAAGCAGCCATAAACGCCATAGATCACTGGAGCAACCTATTACAGAACGCTCAGTTAATGATTCATACAGACAACTCCACAGTGGCGTTCTATGTGAACCAACAAGGGTCAACAAGATCACTGAATCTACTCACTCGATGTTTCAAACTGTTCGATCTAGTCGACAGTCTAAACATACGTATCAAAGCCTGCCACATTCCAGGAGCAAAGAATGTGTTAGCAGACGCTCTCTCTCGGCCACACCAACCATCGCCGACAGAATGGATGCTCCACACAGAGATATTCAATCAGATAATCATGGAAATAGGATCTCCTCTGATAGATCTATTTGCCACCCGATTCAACAATCAACTGACAACCTTCGTATCGCCAGTGCCAGACCCACTAGCATGGGCAACGGACGCACTAAGCATATCGTGGGAGGGACTAAACGCGTACGCTTTCCCGCCTCCTGCGTTGATCCCACAAGTCTTGCTAAAAATCAGTCAAACGAAGAGCCTCGATCTCATTTTGGTCTCGCCTTACTGGCCAGCGAGAACGTGGTTTCCAGACCTCATACGAAGAATCGGAAAACCAGTACTTCAGCTCCCACTGCGCTCCAATCTACTGATACATCCGCACACCAAACAAGTGCACAAAACACCAGAAGCATTCCGACTTCACGTGTGGATTGTATCAAGGCGTGTTTGAATAAGAGAGGTTATTCCAACAGAGCGGCGAAGGCGGTCACGCTTGCACTACGTAACTCCACTCGTAATTTATACGATGATAAATGGCTCAGATTTGTCAATTATGCGGCTAAGAAAGGATTTTCAGCCAGATTTGCTACACATCCTCAAGTGGCAGATTTCTTATGTTTCCTACGTCAAACTAAGAATCTCAAAGGATCTACACTGTCCACTTATCTTGCAGCCATAAGCTCAGTCATTACTATGAGAACGGGCGTCAAACTGACCAAAACACCGGAGTTACTCGCCTTGCTACGTGCCTTCCGATTGGAAGATCAGAAACGGAAGTTTCAAGCGCCAGCCTGGGATCTAAATGTGGTACTTCAACACCTCACAAGTGAGGCTTACGAACCGTTGTTATCTGCGTCATATGAATCATTGACCCACAAAACCTTATTCCTGCTAGCGTTAGCCACTGCCGCCAGAATGTCGGAAATTCACGCTTTGGACTATGAGAGAACACGATTTGATGATATTCATAACATCGCTCATCTGGGACTTCGCTGGGATTTTATAGCGAAAAATCAACTACCAGGTCAACCAGACAGGTTGTTCCATGTCCCAGCTCTCTCATCCATACTTGGGCCGCAGGATACGATGGACTTATCACTTTGCCCTGTACGTGCACTGAAAATATATCTCCAAAGATCCAAGCAAAGTAGAGGGAAATTCAAAAGATTGTTTATCCCTATATCTACCGCTTCACAGACAGAAGTGTGGCGCACTACCATTTCTATTTGGATCAGAACTGTCATACTAAGAGCCTACAAGGCAGCTGGACTGAACCCTCCAAGTGCTGCTAATCCCCACGAAATTAGAGCACTAGCCTCAACTTTGGCTTTACATGGAAATTGTTCTTTGAATACCATTATGGAGGGATGTTTTTGGAGGTCCGAGATGGTGTTTGCAAACCATTATCTGAGAGATATCACCACCAAGGACGTCTCAGGTATCCACCATTTCGGTCCCATGGTCCTCGCTCAACAGTTGACAGTTCCATGGAGAAGATAAGTCTATCTAGCGAGCGCTATGTCTGACACAGTTCTTGAAGCAAGAATTTCCGAGAAAACGTTTACTTATGAAGGGAAAATATTTTAATCATCAAACAAAAGTAAGTCTTTTTTCCTGCCAGATATCGCGATTCAGGAATATTCAAAGTCAAGCATTGATGTATTTTGTGGCCCATTTGAAGTATCGTATCGGGATATTCGACAATGTAAAACTTTGTATAGATTCACTGTATCGGCGGCCCATGGATCGATGCATCGATGCGTATCGATGAATCGTCACACCACTACTGCAAAGTGGTATAAGGCGCAAAGATGGAATTGCTGAAAAGTTATCTGGAATTTCTTCAGTTTCAGTTCATGTAAACTGCCACAATGATTACACTCGTGAATCTTCTATTAGCAGCTGTGAATCCCTCACCTCGAAAGACGGTTTCCTTAAGATCATCACTGTCAATTCAAAATGAATTGCTTGTTCTGTGGAGAAATTGTGATTGTTTCAGAGACTAAAAAACCCAAAGACAAGAGGGATATTTTTGAAGTTCGAACGATTAGTTCCAAAGATTGCATTCTTGACATGGCTGAATATCGTGGTGATGTGTGGGGTCGAGCTGTTATTGAACGGATATCAAGCGCAATAGATTTAGTAGATACATGTTATAAGAAATTCTTCTTAAAAGATCACGTTCTATCCGAGGGAAGGGTAGACCTGCTGATAAAACTTAGCAGACCTTTGATGATTTGTTTGAATTTCTGGAACAAAATGACAAATGTCAGTATTCAACAGAGGATTCCGTGAGCAAACTGAGAGAATGCCATGCTGATGGTGAGATTGAATGTTGTGAAAAAAAACTGAGATCAAAATTGCCAGTTCACTTTGGTGATAGTGTTATCATTTCTAGCATTCGTGGAAGAAAACCGTTATTTTGCATTAGAAATACTGGCCACAAGATCCTTAGCGATGCATGGTATTCTCAGAAGAACGGTTGCGCATAGTAAACACAACTGCAGATACCATACGGCAGGACATCAGGTCAATGCTTTGTGATACTGACCATTACACTCCTGCTGCTGACGCTTTTCATAATCACATGATGAATTTAATAATCTATATTTGCACTGAGAAGGCCACAGGCCTATAGTACATAAAGTTATGTTACATTTGAGAGGAATTTAGATCGGATAATCATAGCATAGTAAATGAACATTGAAATATTTTGTAGAAGAACTGGATTTTTACTACTTAACAATGATGAGAATTTTATCACATTTAGATGGACATAGTAATATCTTTTAATATATTTTGTTCGGAACCGGTCATAAAATGGACATACTAGGAGAAAATGTAATTAATCTTCTATTTCGTTAAAATTACAAAGTGTACATATTCTTTTTTCTCTTTTTACATTCCTATGTCTGCCTCTTTCAATCAACAAATCATGAGAAGAGCATCTGAATCGTGTCAGTGCTATTCTAAACTTTTTAACATTAACACAGGTTAGATATGACTCAAGAACTATGGCATTTTTAAACAATGAATAATACATGCATTTATTTGATAAGGATATCCTTTCACTCCATGTTTGAATATACATGTACATATCTTTTAGTCTTGTCCTTAAGGATTGTATGAATAACGTAGGTGATTCGACATATTGTGTATTCCATGTAATTCCAAAACCAATAGAATATAAAAAGTGTTTTACATTGGTTTCCCAGTTTTTTGTCCACCTTTATCATATAACAACATCATATTATAACACTTCTTGGGTAAGCGATTTGAAGGCATAATCAATAGTTTTCAACATGATGAATGTGCCTAATACTCTCTGTGTTTTGGTCGAAAGGATTACAAATAAAGATAAGAAAGGTGATGTTACTACAAGGCAAAGGAAGGCATCTGTTATTTGTCACCAAATACTCTCAGCAACAAGAGAAATATCTTTTCTTTCTATGATACAACTTCGTTTAGCCGTGTATATTCACCGAGAAATTGGATCTAAGCACCTTCTGGATGTTATGTCAGCCTTGGGAGTGTGTTCATCATATAATGAGGCTATTTCCTATGAACATTCTGCAATGAGATTGGTCATGAGATTGGTGAAAATGCCTTCATGCAATTTGTCATTGACAATGCAGATTTTAATGTTCGCACACTTGATGGATATGGCACATTTCATAGTATGGGTGGAATCATGTGTGTCACACCAGGTAGTTCTGTCTGTATATCTGATGTTATCAAGCGAAACAAAGCTGTTTCAGCAGACGATGTCAGGTCCAAGTCAATTGATATTTGACTTGTTCATTTCAGAGCAAGAAAGGTTTGCTTGGTTTGATTGTTGATGACACTTCCAATGTCAGAAAGCTGACCTCTTCTAGCTCTATGCATATTCTTTTGGATACGCTTTTTGAGGTCACTCGCTGCTGGAGTGGATACATGGGGTGTGCCAGAAGTGTTGACAATTATGAAGTATCCAAAGTGATCCCATTGCCATTTGTCAACTTGCAGGCATCGAATCCAGACGCAATGTATTCTGTGCTGACATATTCTGTTCACAAATGCAGGAAACATGGACAGAAAACATGTTTGGTGACATTTGACCAAACTCTATATGAGAAAGCTGTTGATATTGTAGCTTTCCACCTGAACAAAAATACTCTAGCTTCAGTTGTTGTCAGACTTGGTGGTTTCCATCTCCTTATGTCTTTCATGGGTTCGGTCGGTTATATAATGGATGACAGTGGACTGAAAGAGCTATGGTCACTCATCTATGCCTCTGACTCTACTGAAGAAATGTTGACAGGTCACACTTATGCAAGAGCATTGAGGGCTCATTCCCTGACATAGTTAGCAATAGCTGTTATTGCTTTGCAGGAGGTCAGCCTGGATGAAACAATTAAAGCTTGCCTGAAGACTTTGTATAAGGATGTTCAAACCATCCATGTGATCCCTGATGAACTTCCAGCAATTGCCAATGCCACAAACCTTGTCGAAAAACTGACTGCAGTTATGGAATTTGAATCGTATCAAAGCAGAACTGCCAAGGTTTGGTGTCAATATTTTGAGCAAGTTTCTTTGACACACCAGTTCATTCGAGCTGAAAGGATCGGAGCCTGGGATCTTCATCTTGATGCTGCCTGCAAGATGATACCATATTTTCATGCTAAAGGACATATTGCTTATGCCAAAAGTGCCCATTTGTGTGTTCAACAGATGTCACAACTAGGAGATATTATGCCCAAGGATGAATTTTAAGCTTTTACCAGGTTTGGTGGTTTTACTGCCAGGCGAAGTGACAAGATGTGGGCTGGCATCTGGACAAGAGCCGTTGCCAAGTGTCCCATTCACACACAAATGCAGCTATTTGCCTTGCCACCTACCTCGGCAGCGTCGAGAGAACATTGCCTGAGGCATATCTGCAAGTGCAGCAATGAATGGGGATGGCAAATTGTTTGTGGCCAGCTCAAGCCAATAACAACCCGTGACCCCAATTGAAATTGTGAGTATCCAAGGGCGATAACTCTTTTTAAAGCATGGAAATGGTTACTGAAATGTGTTTTTATGAAATTATACAATTTCACTTACTTGATTTTTGGGTGTAAAAAATGAAATTATTTCAATTGTTGGGCCATTAACAGGGCATCTTCACACACGTTATTGTGTTTTCATTGACTTCTAAAAATGCCCCCAAAATTGCAAATTTTCAGTTTCAGTCAAAATGTAAAATATGATTTTATTAAGTTCTATTTGGTGGTTTGTGGTGAAAAGACATTGAACAATATACTTCAAGATCTTTTGGACATATCTAAACCTTATCATTATACCTATAGGTCTTTGTGTCACCCACGGTAAAAACATCTAAGAAATATATTTTTAGTACCAAAAAGGGCCACAACTCCGAACTGTGAATTTTTTCCTTTCTGAAATAGTCAATAATCTTGAGATATATTGACTCAGTTGTCAAACATTTATGTACTTATGTACAGAAATAAAGAAGTTGTTACTATTTTATCAAGCGCAATTGGTCTTCTAGGTGAGCAAAAGGTTGCATAAGGTAGCTATGTTTGCACGTGCACTATGGATTTAGCTCAAGTGGGATTTTAGGGGACTTTTACATGTTATGGAAGAAGGTTTGTAGAACATATCTGCTAAGTTTCATTTCTTCATTTTTTCCGACCTTTTTGCTAATTTGACTGGCCTAACTCTTTCGCCTAAATGAAGTCTGAGATGTGAAACTGATGGCTTTTGCTACCCAAGACCAGTCACTTTCCACTCGCAATCGCCAAAATGTGATTCTTAAGTGAAATATTAATATGAAATGTCGACTTTGCAATGAATGTACAGAGACTGTCCATCACCTTGTCAGTGGATGCTCATCCTTGGCACAAACAGCATATCTTAAAAGACATGATGGCATGGCTTGTCTCCGCCATACCTGTGGCTTTGACTCTGAGGTCCATCCATGGTATGACCCTGAACATGTCCAGGGCGTCATGGAAGAATGATGCTTTCAAACTTCTATGGAATAGGCCTATATGCAGCCTCTGAAGAATTCAAGCCAACAAACCTGATCTTGTCCTTTTTGATAAAGCCAATGAGTTTATTTATATCATTGAATTTTCTGTCCCTTTTGACAGCAACGGGATTGGCAATATTCAGGAAGAGCATGCTAAATATGCGGACCTCGCCTTGGAAATGTCTCGCTTGCATCCCAAGTACACTGTCGTCTGGCTCCCCATTGTTCTCGATGCCCTTGGTTTGGTACCTCCTGATCTCTTGGCGCAGATCAGGAGAGTGCCCGGGTTCTCCACCGGGAGTACAGCCCTTCTGACAATCTGGGTAATGCAGAAGGCTGCAGTGTTGGTGAGCCTTCGTTATTCTCCCGAAAGTTCTTGCTGGGTTCGACTAGGCAGTGTTTCCTGGGAGAAGTCCCATTCGCTGTCTGGGCTGCGTGTAGTGGGGCGAGGGCCCTGAGCTGATGATGCGCCTTATCCAGCCCGACTGTGCCAGGATCACCCGAACCTTCTCTGCTGCATTTTCATCTTTAATATGTAAAGCATGATAATAATAGCAATAATAAGTTATCGATGAAACGTGCCATCTTGCCAGAATTAGTAAAGCAAGGATATAAACATATTCAGACGTCCCTTGTGTCCACTCATCGTTCTGCAGTGCACATAATTCAGGGGACAATATCTTATCTTCCATGTGCCGAGTCCCAGAGTGGAGACCTACAGCGTGGTGCAATTCCTGCAACGAATGCTTTTAAAAATATACATCACGTGGGCCCTCGATCGCAGATTATAAAGAACTTGCCAGACACCGTCGGGTTGTACTCAGTCTTTGAAAGGTCTACCATGCTGTTGTTGGTCGTAGCTCTCATCGTCCCTGCCTTCGGGGCTCGCCCAGGGTTCACTTCCACCGGGAATCTGGAGTGGAGGGACTGCGGTATGTCAAATGATTGAATTAATATTGAAACATCGCAATGTCAACAGTATAGTGACGAGAACACACCACAGCTGGTCGTACCCTTTGCCAAAGTTGGCCACGAAGACTATTTTAGGTTTGGCAATACCATATCATTGTGATGACGACTTCAAAGTTGTTAAAATCTAAATCCTGTACATCAACCAGTCTTTATATACAGTACTGAAAATGCCATTGGCCTAAAGTACCGTTTTACATACAGTAGCAAAAGGTGCAGTTGACATGAATATATCGCAAATAATATCACATCTTAAATGCAGAGGATCTAATCTAATATTCATTGCATTGTATATATACATTTTGAGATACTTTGTGACTGTTTGGTTTTGAGATAACATGAGGGTAGAGAATTTGCCTTTTCGGGGGTTCAAATAGAAATATTTCTTTATGTATTCTTTTCTGATATTTGCATACTCAATCTATGGCTTCTCTTCCATACATCACGACGTGGTATAACTGATATAGAATTTGAAGCAACGTGGTAAAACTGATATAGAATTCTAAGCAACATGGCATAACTGATATAGAATTCTAAGCGACATGGCATAACAGATATAGAATTCTAAGCGACATGGTATAACTGATATAGAATTCTAAGCCATGTGATATAACTGATATAGAATTCTAAGCGACGTGGTATAACTGATATAGAATTCTAAGCAACGTGGTATAACTGATATAGAATTCTAAGCGACGTGGTATAACTGATATAAAATTCTAAGCGACGTGGTATAACTGATATAGAATTCGAGGCAACGTGGTATAACTGATATAGAATCGAAGCGGCGTGGCATAACTGATATAGAATTCGAAACAACCTGGTATAACTGACATAGCATTCGAAGCGACGTGGTATAACTGATATAGAATTCTAAGCGACATGGCATAACTGATATAGAATTCTAAGCAACATGGCATAACAGATATAGAATTCTAAGCGACATGGTATAACTGATATAGAATTCTAAGCCACGTGATATAACTGATATAGAATGCGAAGCGACGTGGTATAACTGATATAGAATTCTAAGTGAAGTGGTATAACTGATATAGAATTCTAAGCGACGTGGTATAACTGATATAAAATTCTAAGCGACGTGGTATAACTGATATAGAATTCGAAGCGACGTGGTATAACTGACATAGAATCGAAGTGACGTGGTATAACTGATATAGAATTCGAAACAACCTGGTGTAACTGACATAGCATTCGAAGCGACGTGGTAAAACTGATGAAGAATTCGAAGCGGCGTAAAAGAACTAAAACTCACTCACTCACTGAGACATAGTTGACTTGAGGAACGTACAAACCACAGCTTCAGATGTCGCTTTAACCCCTTGAGATGCCCGAGTGCTCTGAGATGACATACTTGGACATGTCATACCGATTTCAAGCTTGGCTAGATAAGCCGTGTGGATTTCTTTCAGTCTGTCTGACACGGATTCTAAATGACGTAAGAAAGCGACAAATCCTCTTTATAAGACACCTTTTGATACATTGTTATGTCTTGAATTTGATTGTTGTAGGGCATGAACCGATGTGATATCAAGTCTCGACCGATACGATTTGTCTGGGTCTGTCTTGACCAACAGGGCTTCTCTGAGTCTATCCCGACCAACAGGGCTTCTCTGAGTCTATCCCGACCAACAGGGCTTGTCTGAGTCTTTCCCGACCAACAGGGCTTCTCTGAGTCTATCCCGACCAACAGGGCTTGTCTGAGTCTGTCCCGACCAACAGGACTTCTTTGTGTCTGTCTCGACCAACAGGGCTTGTCTGAGTCTATCCCGACCAACAGGGCTTGTCAGAGTCTATCTCGATCAACAGGACTTCTCTGAGTCTATCCCGACCAACAGGGCTTCTCTGAGTCTATACCGACCAACAGGACTTGTCTACGTCTATACCGACCAACAGGACTTCTCTACGTCTATACCGACAAACAGGACTTGTCTGAGTCTATCCCGACCAACAGGACTTGTCTAGTGTCTATCTCGACCAACAGGGCTTGTCTGAGTCTATCTGGACCAACAGGACTTGTCTAAGTCTATACCGACCAACAGGACTTGTCTAAGTCTATACCGACCAACAGGACTTGTCTAAGTCTATACCGACCAACAGGACTTGTCTAAGTCTATACCGACCAACAGGACTTGTCTAAGTCTATACAAATGACCAACAGGACTTGTCGAAGTCTATACCGACCAACAGGACTTTACAATGTCCAAATGATTTTCATGGTCAGGTTTCGGTAACGAACTGGATGTCAATGAAGAAGTTTGATTTCCTTGTCAGGTGTCGTGTAACTGCCCTGAGACATCACTGTAGACCATGGAAGGAGAAATCACACACGATCTCGATGACCACGTCATTATGGACGTTCTCATGGAGAAGACGCTGTTCGGGAGGCTCACCAAGGTGCCCTGTTTCGGTTTCTTTGGCTCATGGTAAGTAATGACGAGGACTTATGTTGGTCTATTGAAGGATGAAGTAAACAGATTCCAGGCCGTTTAAGGCCGTCGGTAATAAAATGGCGTAAACAGCGATGTAAGATAATTAAGGCCACTGTATGGACCGTGTGTGTTCACGAAGAATCATCACTAAGATTAGATAGCGACAGTGGTGAGATTCAGGAAATGTATCTAATCCTGCAGTCTTGAGATCCCAACACACTGAGGGCTAGTAGGTTAGTGACGATGGGGAAACAGAGACTTTAAACAAATTGAATGTTGAAAACAATCCAAAAAGGTGACACTATAACGTCTGCTGGTATTAGGACTTGCTAGAAATACAACATATTATCCACGTTCCCGAATACAGTATGGAAATCTTATCGACCACACACCACAAAGAATTAAAATAAAAACATTTTTTCACATTACACCCACACTCTGCAAACAAGTAGGGGATACTTGAGAACACTTTTGATTATAGAAAACATGGCGGAGTTTCTAAGTATATAGTTTTATAATAATGCCTAACGAATTGGGAAGACAACCACCGTTAGTGGATTTTGAAGATGTTGCAACCGCTAGTGATGTGGAAGCACTCCTTGGAGGACATGAGTCAAAGAGCCAAATTGACGTTTTCGATCAGTAATGCAGACGATTTTTAGTTTTTATCCTCTCGAGAAGGTATACCGTAGGGCGTTTTCGATCTCAGTGTGCTTGCAAATACGCTGCCTTATTTAATATAGACCTGTTGATTGACGTGGTCAGTGGGGGACATGTCCGGTCTCACAACTCGTCATGGCATCCTGTGGATGGTGAGTTGCTGGATGCAAACTTTGACGTTTTATTAGCCAACACTTCGGCCCCCTGTCTATGTCTGTGTTGTGCTGATAGAATGTCCTATTCCGTGGACGGAGTATCCTGTTAGGACATACTTGACGTGGACGGAGTATCCTGTTTCAACATTCTTGACATGGGTGTGTTAGGACATACTTGAAGTGGACGGAGTATCCTGTTAGGACATACGTGACGTGGACGGAGTATCTTGGGAGGACATTCCTGACATGGGCGGAGTTTCCTGTTAGGATATTCTTGACGTGGAGGGAGTATACTGTTAGGACATACTTGACGTGGGCGGAGTTTCCTGTTAGGACATACTTGAAGTGGACGGAGTTTCCTGTTAGGACATACTTGACATGAGCGTGCTTCCTGTTAGGACATACTTGATGTGGAGGGAGTGTACTGTTAGGACATACTTGACGAGGGAGGAATTTCCTGTTTGGACATACTTGACGTGGACGGAGTTTCCTGTTAGGGCGTACGTGACATGAACCGAGTTTCCTGTTAGGACATACTTGACGTGGACGGAGTTTTCTGATAACCCGTCAGGATACTTGATGGAGTTGTCTGTTATACATTAGGTAAGTAAAATATATAGATGAGACATGGGCTGTTACCAGCGATCAAACCTCGATCTGACATGACCGGAGCCGAATGTTAATGACTGACTCTTGAATGCTTGTAGCCACAAGGCGTTCATAGGTTGAAGACGTCATATTATTAAGTGGATACCAGGATTAAAAACGAGTGGAAGAAACTTGTACGCAAGGTGTACCTCAGCAGCGACCTGATGCATACTGATTCTCCCGCAGCCACTACACGGACCCATGTCACCTTCTGAACACCTTCAAGCAGAGCGGAACGTGCCCTCCCCAGCTGACGGCTAATGGCCTCCCATGCACCTGTCCCTTCAACCCCCAGAAAGCTTAGTCTACCGGCCTCCAAGTTCACCATCCCTGACATCAAAGGTGCCTGGAAAGTGGTGTTAGAGGATGTAAGTAAAGATTGGTAACCAAGTCATGGGGTTGAATGTCATCAATATTTCTCAAACATGCGATGCTTAGGATCAGTTGTACAGGCGACGAAACACAATTATAATATCAGAGATAGAAATACCAGTTTAACAATATATATATATTGACAGTTTTCACCTAAACGAGTTTTCTTTACTTTGAGAGGCATCGACCGAAAATAGTTTGAAAACTCGATTAACCTTCCTAATTTATCTGACGTGACAGATGTTCAATGTTTGGATATTCTGTAAATCGTTGTATAACATATCATTCCAGAGCGAATTCCACGTGAAGATCACCCTGAACGAAAAGCCCTGTGGTCAACTTCGTGGTTGTGTAGAGGTGTACCTAAATATCGATGTCAAGTGAATCCAGTCGGATACGAGTTTTTACATGATCGAAAATAAAGACAATGGATACCGAACAATGAGTTTCTGTTAGTTCAGGAAAGTCTTTGCCTCTTGTTTCTATCATCTTAATATTTAGTTTAAAGGAGTAGCGAATGCATTCTTTGCTTTCGATATGGCATATCTGAAGGTATCAACGGTGATTCTGTATACTGACAACGTAGCGTGGAGATGGATATAGCTGAACGAAACCTCCTCCGTGGTGTAGTGGTTAGAGCGTCCGCCCGGAGAGCGGAAGGTCGCCGGTTCGATCCCCGACCGCTTCATACTAAAAGACGTTAAATATGGTACTTGTTGGTCCTGGTCGGCTCGGAGTCAGTATAATGTGTGTGAATGGGTTATTCATGCTTCACTGCGGCATGGCATCTCAGTGGGCTAGCACTATAAAACCAGCTTAAGACTGGGCTAGTGCACGTAGCCGCACATACACATACACACGCATGCACGTCGTCATATGAGCGAAATATTCTCAAGCACGACGTAAAACCTAATTTCACCTAACCTCACCTGGACGAGTCTAGTGTTTGCTGTGGTACACGTCTTGACATTCCACATCGGTTTTAAACTGTCTCTATTCGTGGAATCCAAAGAGGGGTGAAGGATATCATGCAGATTCTGCCCCAGGTCGGCGACATAAAGTATCTACCAGCCCTCGAGTGTTTCGTGTAAGCGACAAACAGCAGTCGATAATTATACACAGGTAGAGTCCGAGGTACATATCCGACTTCATCATCAGCCCATCTGTCGGGAACACTATCAGCTATGATGCAGAGTGTTCAGTGGTGGGCAAAGCAGATAGTATATTATCGTTAGTATGTACGACCATATTTGCAGATTTCGTATTGCATTGTGGGCTTCTGTATCTCAAAGCAACCAATCAATGACAAAGACACAACTGTAAACGCTGGAAAACTCTGGTTGAAAAGTTTTCAAACAAATAGTGGAGAGGGAGTGAGTGAGTTAATATTTAACGTCACATCGGCAATATTTCAGCCATATCGTGACGAGAACATTTGACATTGAAATAGAATATATACACAGAGATTATAAAAACCTGCCGACGAAGGACAGTAAAACAACTAGAATATCACAGATATACATGTAAAACTAGTAATTAAATCTAAAACATTTTAACTTTAGGGGACATCACAATATAAAAATAGGCAACAGATCGCCAACAACTGAAGGTAGATCACCATACCAGGGACCATGGGGACTTACATTACTTTTGCTACCTGCATGGACCCTAGTTGGATTTAAACCATCCCTTCAGCAATTGGCGACAGAAGAGAAATCTAGCCATAAATTAAAAGCACACATATTCTGCCATTAAAAACCTGGTACACTTAAATTGACTAAATGTTTTGGGACTTACGTACCCTCTCAGGAGGACAATAATTTTACAATACTTCAACCCCCTTTGAGGGTACAGCCACTAACAATCTCAGCAACTAATTCAAACTACCAATAATAAAATATGTATCTATTTACAAATCACTTAACAAATCTAATTCTTTTAAAAATGCAATAATTAAATGAGAACTGACATTATTAAAAAGATCCTTCATAGTGTTTACTTTGAAATAGTTATCCCTTGTGATGGAATATTCAATGCAGACATGCTTGACTGTGATTCTTTCATCACAAGGGATGCAAAACGGAGGATCTTCGCCTTTCAATAAATACTCATGAGTATATCTAGTATGGCCAATGCGACATCACCGCAGAATGACCTCTTCAAATCTGGACTGACAACCCAAGTAGGTGTAACCAATGTAGGGTTTTATTGCATGTAATTTATTAATACCTACTTGGGTGTCCCACTTCTTCTGCATCAGATCACGGATGTAGGTTCTAATGCATGATTTATAATCAGAATATGGGATAAGAAGTGGTGTCACAGATTTGTTGAGTGCTGCCTTAGCAGCAATATCAGCCATGGTGTTCCCAGAAATGCCAACGTGGCTGGGTAACCAACAAAAGATGATGTCGCATTGGCCAGTAGCAAGTTCATTGTACAATTCAATAATGTCTATTAAAAGTTGATGTTTGCAAGAAAGGTTTTTAATAGCCTGAAGACACGACGAAAAATCGGAAAAGATGATATATTGTTTATATTTACGGTGTGTATTTATATATTTAAGAGCTGTTAATATGGCGTTAGCTTCTGCTGTGCAAATAGAGCTAGTATTTGGTAGTCGAGAAGATATTGTTCAAGATCCAATGACAGTGGCACAAGCCACACCGCCACCATCCTTGGACCTATCTGTAAATAAGGATTTGTGTGTATGATATTTATTGCTTATTTGTCTAAATTCTTGTTTATATTGTAATTCATTTGTTTCAGATTTTTTAAATGTTGTCAGTGTAAGGTCAACGTGTGGCCTCACCAATTGCCAAGGAGGAGAAGAAATAAGACGGGAAGGAGCTATATGTTCCAGCTCAATGCCAGCAGCAGAAAGGAAAGGTTTCACTCGTATACCAAGAGGCGGAACAAGAGAAGGCTTCTTATTATACAGATCTTCATATAATGGATTAAAGACACAGTTATATGCAGGGTTTGACTCATTGGAATAAAGTGTTGTCATATACTGTAAAGTTAATTTTATACGACGTTGGGTAAGTGATGGCTCATCGGCCTCAACATAGAGACTGTCAATAGGAGAAGTTCTAAAAGACCCAAGACAAAGTCTTAGGCCTTGGTGGTGAACAGAATCTAATAGTTTTAGGTTGCTGATGCAGGCTCCACCATATACGATGGAGCCATAATCAAGTTTGGAGCGGACTAGTGACCTATATAGGTGTAAGAGGGTAGTTTGATCCCCTCCCCACTTTGAATTAGAAACTACTTTCAATAAATCCAGTGCCTTCAGGCATTTATTTTTAAGGGATTTAATATGCGGCAAAAATGTTAAATGGGAGTCGAAAAGTATACCCAAGAACTTGGCCTCTTTGACAACTTTGATTGGAGTGCCATTTAAATTTAGTTCTGGGTCCTTATGTGGCTTATATTTTCTACAGAAGTGTATACAATTAGTTTTTGACTTAGAAAATTTAAAGCCGTTTTCAAGACACCATTTATGTATTTTGTTTAAACACAATTGCAGTTGCCGTTCAATAGTATGCATATTTTTACCACGACAAGACACAAACAGCGACCCATCGATTGAATAATTGAAAACCTTGGACAAACTATTTATCTTTATGCTAAAAAGTGTGACAGACAAAATACTGCCTTGTGGGACACCCTGATCCTGATTGTAATGATCAGACAGGGTAGAACCCACGCGGACTTTAAATTGCCTCTTAGTTAAAAACTTGGATATGAATTGAAGCAAACGGCCTCGCAACCCAAAATCGTGTAAATCTCTAAAAAACCCATGTTTCCAAGTAGTGTCATAGGCTTTTTCTAGATCGAAAAAGATCGACACTGCATGTTGTTTTTGAATAATAGCATTTTTTACAAAGGATTCTAAACGCACTAAATGATCGATAGTACTTCTATTTTTACGGAAACCACACTGGATATCCGTTATAAGGTTATTGGTTTCCAAGTACCAAACAAGTCGATTATTTATCATGCGTTCCATGGTCTTGCAAACACAGCTAGTTAGTGAGATCGGTCGATCATTCGAAGGATCAGTATGGTCACGCCCAGGTTTAGGGATGGGAACAATAATAGCATCGAGCCATGAAGAAGGAAATTGTCCAGAAGTCCAAATAACATCAAAAATGTTCAAGAGGGTCTCTAAGCATGATTCCGGTAAGTGCTTCAGGAGTTGATAATGTATGTTATCAGCCCCTGTAGCAGTATCGTGAGTCTGGTCAAGAGCAGTATGAAGCTCATGAATAGAAAATAGTTCATTGTAATCTTCCCCATTATCTGAATCGAAATTAATAGTTTTCTTCTCCTGTTGTTTTTTATAATTTTGGAATTGAGGTAGATAATTCGACGAGGAAGAGTGTTTGGCCAAAGTTTCTCCAAGTTTATTTGCAATATCAGATTTACTAGTTAATAATTCGTCTCCGTCTTTAAGATGCTTAATGCTTGATTGAGAACCCTTACCTTTTATTTTCTGGATCATATTCCATACCTTTGAGATCGGCGTTCGCGAATTTATTTTTGACACATTATTTCGCCAGGATTGACGTTTACTTTGCTTGAAGGTACGCCATGCCTTAGCATTTAAAATTATAAATTTATTCAAATTTTGGACCATAGGATGGCGACGGAAATAATTCTCAGCTTTCTTCCGTGCCTTCCTAGCCTGTTTGCACTCATTGTCGAACCACGGTTTTCGTATGTGTGGAACCGCAGAGGATTTGGGGATACACTCATCAGCAATGTTGATTAGTTCATCAGAGAAATCCTTTATAGGAGCAGGACTTTCTATAAAAAGTTCAGGTTTAAGTCTGCTACAACACAGAGCTTCATACAAAGGCCAGTAAGCCTTTTTAAAGTTCCATCTTGAAGATGGGGTAATATCAGATGGGTTCACAGGTGATAGAATGGTAGGAAAATGGTCACTTCCACAGAGGTCATCGTGAACTGACCATGCAAAGTCATTCAGTAGGTTTGAATCCGTGATTGATAAATCAAGCGCCGAATAAGTTCCAGTGCCAGGATGTAAATAGGTGTTGGAACCATCATTGTATATGCATAAAACATTATCTGAACAGAACTCTTCTAACAGTTTACCTTTAGCATTAGTAGTTGTACCACCCCAAAGTGGGTTGTGGCCATTTAAGTCCCCATAATAATACAGGGTTTGGGCAGTTGGTTATATAGAGTTTGAAGATCAGTCTTCTGAATGACTGAAGATGGTGAGATATACAAAGAGCATAATGTAAATGTAACGTGTAAAGTGAGTCGCAATGCAAATGCTTGAAGATTAGAAGTAAGTGTAATGGATCCTCAAGTGATCCATATTTGTTGTAAAGTTTAATTTTATTTTCAGACCCTTTTGGGGCTCTGCCACTTTGTTTTTTTGAATAATCAGGCATAGGTTTAGTCTTGCCTTTAGCAATTTGATCGACATTAGATAGCGATTGAGACTTTGTGGTTGACTGAGATAATGCGTCAGGATCAGGAACTTGCTCTGATTGAGTTTGAGACATGCCAGAAAGTGGCTCCGCTGTTTGAGTCGATATTGCACTTGAAAAAATCTGAGGAGAATCGGTTTTTACCCAAGTCAAATTTGTTTGGCAGCTGGAAGATGATTTAGGTATTTTAGGAGTTGCCTCGGATGGTTTTCTGGTCTTTGAAGCATATGTCTCTTGTTGGTCGCATCTTTGTACAAGTTGTTTCGCTTCGGCAAAACTAATATTCTGAGTAAATTTGATTCTGTTTATTTCCATCTGATGTCTCCAAATCGGACACTCTTTAGAGAAAGAGGGATGGTCTCCTGAACAATTGGTGCACTTTTTGTAAGTACTGTCACAATCTTCTGTTGTGTGTGTTTTCTCACCACAGTGAGCACACACAACAGACAATGTGCAGGTATTGACACCATGACCATATTTCTGGCACTTGAAGCATCTCAGAGGATTTGGTATGTATGTATCCACTTTGTCGTGACAGTAACCAGCCTTTATTTACTTTGGAGCAGTCGGGGTGGAGAAAGAGAACAGATACGTGTTGGTTAGATGGGTTTAACATATATAACACCTTGTTCTGTCATCTCGGAGACAATATTTATTTCCAGCATGTCAGTAAAAAGTCCATCACGGTCTCTTAATATGCCCTTGCTGGTGTTAAGCGTTCGGTGGGACTGATACAGGAATGCCGACAAATGAGTCAGTTGACAGGAGGTTGGTAGCCTGTTGTTTTCTACTACATTCAACTAGAAGTGCATCTGTCCGCAAACGTTTTATTTTTTTAACATCTCCTGCAATGCCTTCTATGCCTTTTGATACAGCAAAAGGGTTCAAATGTAAAGGTGTTTTGTCAACGGTCTCAATCACGATGAAACGTGGCCAGTAGTCAATAGATGTGGGCAATCTTTGGTCGTTAACATCAGGATCAGTGTCAAGTGGACGTTTCTTTGTTGTAATGGGGGTTTCGTAAGCCATAGTTATTGTTGAATGGGTCATCATCCGAGCTCCCCACCCTCCACGGAGTATCACAGGGACAATGCTAAAAACAGGCGGGTTTCCAGCCTGCAGCACCAAGGATACCCGGATGATATACGGATGATTGGCCCATGAGCCACCGCCTTCTGGGCATACGACTCTAGGCAAAAACACATATGAAATTGTGTAGTTGAAATTCTAAAGCTCTAAAAATTCGCCAAGACTCCTGGAACCAGTGTCCTCCACCACCAGAATCCCTTCCTCCACCGACACAGGGGCGCAACCCACGGCAAACAGGTTTGAGGACCAAATATGCCCCCGGGTCCACAACGGGGGGTCGAA